CTTTATACTGTAACTGAAGTCTAAAAAATTAACTTTTTTTTTAGATATTTTAAGTTTGAGCAAATTAAGATRTTCAAATGAAGAATAACAATTTTTTTTTTTTTGTTTTAACATTGGCTTTAAAACTTATGTCATTTGTTATTGAGTTTAATAATTGTTAAGTTTAAAATTAAAATGTATTGCTTAGAGCCATGGTAAAGATGATTATGAATTGGATATTGGCACTAAATTATTTATGGATATATCAGTTCAACCAAAATCTGATTTTATAGAAACTATATCTAGGTGGTATAATTCAAGTTTTGAGGTGGTTGACTTTAGTAAACCTGCTAAGGCTGTAAATTCAATAAATCAATGGGCAGAAATCCTTACTCATGGCCGTATTCAACAACTAATATCTGAAGGTTTATATCTAATTTAGTAACCATAATATAATATTTGTCATATGAAATTTAATAACAAAATTTTAATATTATGGTAATATTTTTTAGCTGAAACTAAAGAAAGTACAGTTCTTCTTTTATTGAATGCTATATATTTTAAAGGATATTGGACAATTCCATTTGATAAAGATCTTACCAAAAGAGGTACATTTTATTTAAACTCGAAAACTGCTGTTGATGTTCCATTAATGACTGCTTACAACTATTTTAAATTATCTACCATAGAATCACTTAATGCTAGATTAATTAGTTTGCCATATCAGGTAAAGTATGACTTAATGTTTTTATAGTAATTTCTAATTATCTACTTACTTGACAATATTTTCACAGGGAAATAAATTTGTTATGTATATAATATTGCCAGATGAAATTAATGGTTTAGATGATCTAATTAATAGAATTAATCCATCATTATTGGGAGAATCAATAAAAAATATGAAGATGTTTTCTACTAAAGTTGTGTTACCAAAATTTAATTTTGAATATACATCAATTCTTGGACCATTATTACAAAAGGTTGGATTTTTTTCATAATAGTATATTTTGTATTCCAGTTATCTGTGTTTAGAAAAGTTAGCAAGATTTTCAAGAAGAAACATTGGATATTTATAAATTAGGAATAGTTACGTACCATCTAGTATCAAAGTCTGAGTCTGATACAGGTTGGTATGTACAACATCTTGCAGATATACTGCATGTATACCTTCTTGAACGCTCAAAATTGATCTGATACGTATCGATTCACTCCAATTTCTTCCTTGAAAATCTTGCAAGTGATTAAAGGACTTGTATAATAATATAATTAAAATAATGATTCTTTGTATTTATAAAGGTAATTTAGTAATTTCGATAGTAGTAATGTAGTACTTAACTTGACTTAAATATTTATTTTTACTTATTAATAGTTAGGTATTACCGAAATGTTTGGACCAAATGCAAATTTAACAAATTTAGGAAATGATGGCCAATTTGGGAGTCTTATCGTGTCTAATATACTTCAAAAAGCTGGACTCGAAGTAAATGAACAAGGAAGCACCGCTCATGCAGCTACTGGTTTGCTTTAATTAATAATTATAAAATATTAATTTATTTATGTCTACAGAGGTAAAATTAATAGTTTTTAATTATATTATAGAAGTTGATTTAGATCACCGTTTTGGAGCATCAATTGATGCTTATTTTGAAGTCGATAGACCATTTTTGTTCATGATAGAAGATATTACAATGGATACCATAGTATTTGTTGGACAAGTCATGAATCCACTTTCACAGGGCTCACCTGTAGTTACTATTCCAATGGCCAACACTCCAACTCCAATAAAATGTAAATTTATAATCTTAAATCTTTTTTTTTAATGTATTTATTATCATAAATTGCTTCAATACACCAAGTATTTTTATAATACTTTAAAAATATTATATAGTTAATTAATTAAGGTTTATAAATAAGTTTACGGTTACATTTTAGCTTGATTATGAGTCTGGATAGTCTTCTTGAGCTTTAACTGCTTCAAGTAAAACATCTTAGGATAGCTGTGGCTTTAGTCTGCGGTATTTGGTTCTTTTCCCAATGTTAAAGTGAAGGGCACCTTCTGTTTTTAATTTCGAATGAAATTTTTAAATTGTTCATTGATCTAAGTGATAGTATTCCAGTGTCATTGTGGAGTTGTGTGTTTCGCATGTACCATGAGACTTTAAGAGCTATTCTGAGAAATTTGTTTTGTATCGTTTGTAATTTTTATTTGCATACGACTGGCGACTGCCAATATTGGTAATGGCATATACAATTAATGGTATTAGTATTGATGTGTATATTAGAAGTGAGAATTTAGTCTGAAGTGTTAAACTGTATTTATTAGGGGGTATAAGATTTTCGGATCTAGGATAAAAAAGTCACGGTCAAAAAATCCACGGATAAAAAAGTCATGGATAAAAAAGCTAGGGGATAAGAAATACATTAGATAAAAAAGCCACTGATAAAAAAGCCACTGATAAAAAAGCCATGGATAAAAAAGACACGGATTTATTTTAAAATTGAATACAATATAATTTAAAATTATTTAAAAAAGTTAAAATTTAAAATTTAGGATTTAAAAATGTAGGTAATATAAA